AGAGCATTATGCTAAGCGAAATAAGCCAGTCAGAGAAAGATAAACATCACAAGATCTCAATCATTTGTGGAATATAAAGAACATCATAAACTGATGAACAGAAATAGATACAGAGTCAAAGAAGCATCGAACCGACTGTAAAACTACATTGGGAAGGCAGGGGAATGTTGGTGGGGGTGGGGTAAGAGATCAACCGAAGGACTTGTATGCATGCATATAAGCATAACCAACGGGGGTAGGGGAGGCCGAGGAGAGGTCAATGGGGGGAAAAGGAGACATATATACTACTATTTGTAATACTTTAAACAATAAAAAAAATTCATATTCTTTTCATTGCTATTATATTTGATTTTTGTATACTGACCTTATATTCAGCAACCTTACTATCTAACTTTAAAATGCATATTGTATGTCAACTATAATTGAAAAAAAAATATTTAAAACGTAAAAAAAAAAAGATCATATACTGTGATTAAGTGGGATTTATTCCCAGGATGCAAGGTTAGTTTTATATCCACAAATCAATTAACGTGAAACACTATGTAAACAAAATGAAAGATAAAGTCATATGATCATATCAATAGGTACAAAAAAGCATTTGACAAATTCCAAAATCCATTTATGATTAAAAACTCTTAGCAAAGTGGGGACAGAGGAACCATACCTCAACCTAACAAAGGCCACGTATGACAAATACACAGCTAACATCATACTCAACAGTGTAAAGCTGAAAGATTTTTGCTTAAGATCAGGAACAATAGAAGCATGTCCACTTTCAACACATTTATTCAACATAGTATAGTGTTGGAATTCTTAGCCACAGCAGTCAGACCAAAAAAAAAAGGGAAAAAACAAACAAACATCCAAATTGGAAACGAATAAGTCAAACTGTCATTATTTGCAGATTACATGACACTACATATAGAGAACCCTAAAGATTCTATCAAAAAACTATTAAACTGATAAATTACGTAAAGTAGCAGGACACATTAACATTCAGAAATTGGTTGCATTTTTGTATACCAGTAACAAACTATCCAGAAAGAGAAATTAAGAAAATAATCTCATTTATAACTGCATCAAAAAGAATAAAATATCTGGGAATAAATTTAACCAAGGAGATAAAAGACTTGTACTTGAAAAGGTATAAGACACAGAAGAAAGAACTTAAAGAAGATACAAATAAATGGACAGATTGGAAGAATTAATATTGTTAAAATGTCCATCCTACCAAACCAATCTACAGACTCAATGCAATCCCTATCAAAATACCAATGACACCCTAGGTGGTTTGGGTCAGTGGAAAGAGCGTCAGCCTTCAGACTGAAGGGTCCCAGGTTCAATTCCAGTCAAGGGCATGTACCTCAGTTTCAGGCTTAATCCCCGGTCCTGGTTGGGCATGTGCAAAGGCAACCAACTGATGTGTCTCTCTCTCACTTTGATGTTTTTCTCTCTCTGTCTCTCTCTCTATCCCTTCCACTCTCTCTCTAAAAAAAAAAAAAAAAAAAAAAAAAAAAAAAAAAATCAATGGAAAAATATGACCAGGTGAAGATTAACAACAACAAAAAATACCAATAGCATTTTTCACAGAACTAAAACAAATAATCCAAAAATGTATATGAAACCACAAAGACCCCAAAAAGCAATCTTGAGAAATTAAGACAAGATTAAAGGTATCACATTACCTGATATCAAATTATACTACAAGGTTATAATAATCAAAACAGCATGGTACTGGCATAAAAACAGACAAAAGGATCAATGGAGCAGAATAGAGAGCCCAGAAATAAACCCATGCCTATATCTATGACAAAGAAGGCAACAATATACAATAGGGTAAAGACATTCTCTTCAATAAGTAGTGTTGGGAAAAACTGATAAATACATGCAAAAGAATGAAACTTTACACTTTCTTAAACTCAAAATGGATTAAAGATTAAATGTAAGACCTGAAACCATGAAGCGAGAAGAAACATAGGCAATAAACTCTTTAATATCACTCTTAGTAATATTTTTTGGATGTCTCCTTGAGCAAGAGAAACAAAAGAAAAAAAATAAACAAATGGGACTACACTACGCTAAAGAGTTTTTGCACAGGGAGGGACACCATTAACAAAATGAAAAGACTGACTAGAAGAAGATACAGATAGCCAACAGACTTATGACAAGATGCTCAATAACATTAATCTTCAGGTAAATGTAAATTAAAACCAGTATGAGATACCACCTCACACCAGTCACAAAAGCTATCATTAACGAATCATCAAACTAGTGCTGTTGAGAAGTGTACATAAAAGAGAATAGGGAACCCTTGTGCATTGTTGGTAGGATTGTAAATTGGTGCAGCCACTAGTGAAAACACTATGGAGGTTCCTAAAAAAATTAAAAATAGAACTACCATATGACCCAGCAATTCCACTTTTGGGTATTTATCTGAAGAAAACCAAAGTACTAATTCAAAAAGATATACTCAGCCCTATGTTCATTGCAGCATTATTTACAATAGCCAAGATAGGGAAGCAACCTAAGTGTCCATTGATATTTGAATGGATAGAGTAGAAGTGGCACATATGTACAATGGAATATTACCTAACCATAAAAAAGAATGAAATCTTTCCACTTGCGACAACATGGATGGACCTAAAAGGTATTGTGTTAAGTGCAATAAGTAGACAGAGAAAGACAAATACCATATAATTTCACTTATATGTGTAATCTAAAATACAAAATAAACAAACAAAACAGAAAGAGACCCATAGATTCAGAGAACAAACTGATGGTTGCCAGATGCAGGGGGTGTTGCGGAGATGAGTGAAAAAGGTGAAGAAATTAAGAAGTAAAACTGCAGTTATAAAAATAGTCACAGGGATATAAAATACAGCATAGGGAATAGTCAATAATATTATAATTACTGTGTGTGGTGTCAGATGAGTACTAGCCTTGTGAGGGGGATCACTTTGTAAGTTATATAAATGTCTCATCACTAAGTTGTCACCCAAAACTAACATGATATTGTACGTTAACTATAATGGAAAAATTTTTACGAAAATTTCAGTGGCCTCCTATATAATTATTCAATTATTTTGTTGAAAACAAAACAGCAAAGAGATTTTCTAAAATATAATATATAAATCTAAATTTTAAAAAATTTCTTCTAAAGTTTCTTAAGTTACTGAGGACTCTCTTAAATTATATTTATAGATGTTAACTCCAGTTTTATGAATTCTCAATGGTGAGAACATATTATTTCAATAATACAACATTTATACTACACCGAAATACTTTTAGAGATAGAACCTAAATCCCAAATCACTTGTTTGAAATGAAAATTGTCCAAATCTATCTAAAGTGTCTCTCTTTGGAAAACTGCTCACAGGAAAAAGAGATCTGTACCTTTCCATGACAGCGAGGCACTCCTTTCTCCAGGTAAATCGACTCCCTCGCCGTAATCTGAAGGTGCCTGATGTAGCAGAGACTGGGGGAGGCGTTTGTCTCCATTCTGGGTCTTCTATTGGAATGGGGGCCGGTCTCATACTTAGTGTAGCTCCTGAAATAAACAAGTATTTTTTAGCAAATATCTAAATATATCATGAAATCAACAGAAATAAACTTTTGCCTCTTCATTGAAACTTGCAGACCCAATACATTTGATATTTATATATTTTTAAAAAATAGAAATTATTTGACCAAAATAAAAATCCAAAGAAACAAAAACTCTTCCTTAAAAAGTCATCATTAAATTATTTTATGTCTTTTTTTCCAGTTTGTCATTTGTCTTTTATCTTTGTGTCATTTTATTGAAACAAAACTCAAAATTTATCTCTTTTGGAGAATAAGTATGATATTTAGCCCAGTGACAATCTGACTACCTTCCTCTGAAAAATCTCTTTTGAAATTCCTATTTGGAAGTTTAATCTTTTTGAACAACTCCCATCTATGTTCAGAAATTTTCTTTACCATTCAAAGGATTTTTTGTTATTGAGAAAATGGAGCCCTAAAAGTAGAGCCCTACAAGCAGGCAGGAGTTGAATTTAAAATAACCCTAATTTTTGTAAACTCTAAGTCACATATAGCATAAAAGAAAATAGGATGATATTTGATATGCTTTAGTGTACTGACAAAATCAGATCTCCATAGGTCTACTACCTATTAATGCTAAATCCCATTTTCTGTTACTTCTGTCATATAATTAAAACAAATGAAAAAAATATTTATAATTGAGATATTGTACTAGTTCAGACTAACCTTTTCTCAAATAGCCTGAACTGGTGATGATGCATGTATTCATTCATTTATCATTTACCAAAACCTTCTTACATGGCTTGTTCTAGGCTAGAAGCAATGAATAAAACAAACAAACAAAAACAAAAAAAATAGCAACATTGTCTTTGACTTTCATAGACTTCATTCAAAGAATATAAATGTAACTTGGTATGCTATCATGGAATTCACTCCCTGGCTCTTCCACTGTTCTTCCTTTCTTAAAAAAATTTTTTTTCAATTACAGTTTACATTCAATACTATTTTGTATTAGTTTCATATATGCAGCATAGTAGTTAGAAAATCATATACTTTACAATACCCACATGACACCAGACATAGTTATTATAATATTATTGACTACAGTTCCTATTCTCCCACTGTTCTTTCATTCTTTACACTTGGAAATTCATCTTCCCAAGCATAATTATGATCATATCACTCTGCTGATCAAAAACCTTCAAAAAGTTCCCTCTGACTATGAAATAAAATCTAAACTGTTCCTATAGAATAAAATCTAAACTCGATATAGCCCTAGAAAAATAGGTTAGAACTGGTTAGAATTATGTGGAATAACAATAATGCACATATTAATAAATATATTTCTTTCTCCATAATATAAATCATACTTTATTTATTGTACCTTAAAATTAATACCATAGGTAGTATTTCTACATCATCACATATTTAGATTTCTCCTTAAGGGCTATAAGATCATATGCATTCTCTTATACAGATGCCCAGTCCTGATTTCCCACTCCAAACCTGTTGCCCTTATGTCTTTCCCATTGGAGTAAATGGCATCACCATTCTTCAAATTGCTTAGCTCTAAAATCTAAGATTCATCTTTGACTTCTCTATTTCTCCCACATACTATATATCCAGTCCAAAGGCAAATTCTGTCAATTTTATCTTCAAAATATATCCAGAATCAAATCAATTTGTTTACTTTTACTACTACCACTTTAGAACAAGCCAGCATAATCTCTCTTACTCATAACTTCTTGGAATAGGTTCTAAAGATGGTCCTTCACAGTAAGTCCCACCTCCTGGTAATCATGCTCTTGATCTGGGCTGGTCCTGGGACACATTTTGGCATCACAAAATGGAAACAGTTCAAGGCTAGGTCATAAGAAGCTTTTCAGTTCTTAACCAGATCTCCTTGATGCTGGCTCTGGGGGAACCAACTGCCACGTAAGTATGACTAACCTGAGACCACAATGTTGTAAAGAAGACCAAGCTAGCCAGGTAGAGTGAAAGATGCCCAGCCAACCCCGAGGTGCTCCTGCCAAACTCATCCAGGTGCCAGACATTTGAGAAGAAAAGCTATTCTAGATGCAGGACACACCATGAGACAACTGCAGAACCCGGCTGAACAGAAATAAAGCCCTCAGCATTATTTAGTCCCAATACAAGCAATATGGTAGTGAGCCTCCAAAGTGGTTCCCAAGGATCCCTGTCTCCTACTATTCATCCTGTTGTGTAGTCCCTCCCCCTGCTGTACCAGAATCAGTCTGTGACGGTACGTGACTTCCAATATTAGATTATAGAATACACAGTGGAGTCTGTCTTGGTTGCCTGTCTCTTGGATCACTGGCTCAGGAGAAACTAGCTGCCATGCTGTAAGGACATTCAGGGAGCCAATGGCGAGGCCCATGTGGAGAGGACCTGATGTCTCTGGCCAGCAGGCAGAAAGGAACTGGGGTCTGCCAACACTCACGTGCATCATCTTGATAGTACACTGTCCAGCCCCAGTGACTGTAGCCCTGGCAGACAACTCAACTACAACCTAACGAGAATGCTGAGCCAAACCATCCTAGCTAAGCCATGCCTGGATTCCTGACCCACAAAAATTGTGAAATAATAAATGTTTGTTGTTTTTGGCTGCTAGGTGGTGGGGTAATTCTCCAGTTTATTTCCCCATGTTCCTTGATACACTGAGT